ACCCCCGTTAGTGGAACGCCTCGGGCGCCCGAGTGTCCGACATCATATTTGGCATCGTCACCATGCCTCGTTCGCTGATCATATCAGGTATTTTAGGCTGACCTAACTCAGGTAGTCCCGGAGACACACGATCAGGATTAACCGATCCCGTTTAGGATGGTGTGGGCACCAATGTCAATCAATGTATCTGGTAGCCAATACAATGTTCTTCACAAGGCACTTAGATCTTCACCTTCAGTTCACTCGGTTCCTGCATGATCTGACACCTATCTCCAATCCGGCAACGCCAGAGGTTACTCGCACGAAGACGCTCGAAACTGTCAGGAAGAGATCAACAATTTCCTAATGGCCGCTAGTCCATTTAAGACATTTTCGCGCTTTATGCAGGTAGCATTAATTTTTTTGCGGGGGACGTTTGGCGTGACGCCGCGTTTGGTAAGCTGACCAATGCAATACAAGTTTAAAGCCTATTTAAGACAAGGAATACTTTTGCATCAGTGAGGGTCCCTGCGTTGATTCGTCGATCCGGATCCAACTGCACCGGCCAGAGGCATCAGTGAGGGTCCCTGCGTCGATCTGGATTCAACTTCCGCAGCCAGAGGGTACCCACGACAGTAAGGAGACTGATGAGTCCAGATCGACCAGAGGATCCCACGGGGCCTCCGGATCTACCCCGGATCTACCAGGATCCGCGTCTCGTGACGCCATATTGTCCGTGTCGCCAGGACGACAGCTGGTAGGTGTACCTCGGGCTGTGACGGAGGAGTCACTCCGCCGTGACCGGCAAAGGTAACGTGCCACCTAGTGTCCTATCCACGAAGGTACCCGGGCTGTGACGGAGGAGCCACTCAGCCGTGACCGGCAAAGGTAACGTGCCACCCACGTGTCCTATCCACGAAGCCAAACTTTCTGGAAAAGGTAAGGAAAGGGAAACATTTTGAACACTACGGGGCCTCCTTGGTTTTCGTCATTTTAGCAAGGATTTCATTTAAACATAGTGTCATGCGTTTAAACGTGTCCTCCGTCAAACACCTTCCAGGGAAGACGGGCGGCCGACTCATTCAACGCGACAACTCTCCACCCCATCACGCCGCTGTTGCGGCGGACACTCTAGCTGACGGCGGCATCGAGTTGGTGAGGCACCCTCCGTACTGCCCGCGCCTGGGCCAAACTGACTTCTGGTTGATCCCTAACATAAGGGTTCCCCTCGCGGGCGCCGCCTCCCGTCGCGGTGGGCGCTGAAGTCGGCCATATTACGGTATGTTAAGCCTGCTTGGTTGATCCCTAACATAAGGGCTCCCCTCGCGGGCGCCGCCTCCCGTCGCGGTGGGCGCTGAAGTCGGCCATATTACGGTATGTTAAGCCTGCTTGGTTGATCCCTAACATAAGGATTCCCCTCGCGGGCGCCGCCTCCCGTCGCGGTGGGCGCTGAAGTCGGTCATATTACGGTATGTTAAGCCTGCTCCCAATCATCGCTTTGGCGAAGCGATGACAAACCTCTTGCGGTTGCAGGCCGATGGTGGCACTGCGTTAAAAAGCACGAAGATCACGAGGAAAAAATGAGCCAACGGGAATGCCTGTCTGTCAATAAATGTGCTGACTGCGGATAAACGGAATGTACATTTGAAAAGCACTGGATATTTACGGGATGGATTCATGCATTCTGTCATGCTTTCCTCATGGTTTCTGATTCCATGTCTTCTCAAGACGTCTTTAGACACGACTCACAGTTGTGCTGCGTTTACACGTGCATCTGTCATCCTCAGCACGTGCGCTGTAGTAAGTAAAGCAAAGCAATCACGTAGGTATGTTCTCGAAGCATCTGAAATGCAAATCTTGAAAGATACATTCGCAGCACCGATATCCAAAAATCAGTTTTCGTTTGATCGCGAAAGGTGATGGGCTTAGCTGCATACAATAACTTCGACGCGCGAAACCCTTTCTTGGCTGGAATTTCAGCGTTTTGCACCTTAAAGTAGCCAAAAGATATAATGCTGTAATTGTTACAGCACCCATTCTACATCAAGCGGAACGAGGCGACATGTTTCCGCCGCATCGCCGCAGCCTGGACACGGTCTAAATGATAGCCGGGCGAAGCTCAAAAACCGCCGCTTAATGGTAACTGCACGCTCCGGACCGGCTTCCCAGCTTACTCAATGGTAACTGCACGCTCCAGACCGGCTTCCCAGCTTACTCAATGGTAACTGCACGCTCCAGACCGGCTTCCCAGCTTACTCAATGGTAACTGCACGCTCCGGACCGGCTTCCCAGTTTACATCTCCAATGCAAGCTCGACGGGTGCGGTGGTGCATAAAAACCATTGATGCTAGGAACATCAGCTACCTCTGCCAACTATGGAACCACTATCAATATTTTGCCTCCTCTCGCCCTTCCACTCTTTCCTGCTCCTCTAACTTCCCCTCCCCTCTCTCTACAGCTGTTTCACCCTCACTCCCACTCTCACTCTCACCCTTACCCTCACTCTCACCCCAAGTCTCAGTCTCACTCTCACTCTAAGTTTTACTCGCATGACATACCCCGCTCGCTTGCATACTCTCTCTCTCTCTCTCTCTCTCTCTCTCTCTCTCTCTCTCTCTCTCTCTCTCTCTCTCTCTCTCTCTCTCTCTCTCTCTCTCTCTCTCTCTCTCTCTCTCTCTCTCTCTCTCTCTCTCTCCTTTCTCTGTCTCTCCCTGTCTCTCTCTCTCCTTTCTCTCTCTCTCTCTCTGTCTCTCTCTCTCCCTCTCTCTCTGTCTTTCCCTCTCTCTCTGTCTCCCTCTCTCTATTTCTATCTGTTCCCCTCTTCCCTTTCTCCCTCTGTCTTTCTCTCTCTCCCTCTCTCTCTCTTTCTCTCTACCTCTCTCTCTCTCTCTCTATCTCTCTCTCTCTTTCTCTCCCACCCGCCCTGTTTTTCTTTTCTGTTCGCTTCCCCTCCCTTGCTCTCTCCTTGCCTCCCTTCCTTCTTTCTCCCTCCTATTCTCTGTTCTGTTCCTTCTTCCCTTCTTCTCACCTCGCTAGCAACGCTATCACTAGTTCCACTTGATCTCTCTTGCTCGGCTTAACACTTCCTCTTTCCTTCAATGTTCTTGTTGTTCTCTGTCTTCTCTTTTTTCTCGTTCTTTATCTGAATGAGGACATGCCTACATGCACAGCATTTCTTTATGTGGAATCTTGCAAAAACACTCCGTTGAGTGGAATTACGGCCAAGTTAAGCTGTCTCCGAACAGAGGCTTGCGGCTGAAAGGCACTGCGCGCAGCTAATCCGATCAAGGGTGCCACAGCACCGCACTGCACGCTGATCCACCGCGCGCGCGCCGCACCCCAGGGACGGACAGCTCACCCGCTCAATCGATCGGCTGGGGACCGGACGGCGGCCCGCCTCGGACAACGGCACACTGGCGCTATCACCTGAGCCGGCCAAGGTTCAGCCCGCCGGCAGGGGCGCAGTCAGGCATGGCGGCCGGGGGGCCGCGGCGGACGGCGAGCTGGGACACGCCTCCACAGGGCCGGCCGCGGCGGACGGTGGGCTGGGACACGCCTCCACAGGGCCAGCCGCGGTGGACAGTGGGCTGGGACACGCCTCCACAGGGCCAGCTGCGCCTCGTCCCAGACAGCCCGCCGTGCAGCTCACAAAGAGGCCCGCAGCCTGTATACTGGCACCGCTGACATGGTATGCAGGGCCGCACTGTGCATAGCAGAAGGGAGGGTCGGAGGGGAGGGGGGGGGGGCACTCGGCGCGGTATACGCGGGCGCGCTAATCGCAGTATGTAAGGGGCACTTTTATCGCGATGGGACTGGACGCGCTCAAGCAAGCCTCAAGTCTTCGTGGACAATTACCAGAGCAAACAGGGCAGTAGCCGGGCAAGGCATGCATGAGTGCGTTCAGCAGAGTATGCAGCGGAGCGGCACGGCACTTTAAGTGGCATACAGAAGCGTTGTCAGACATGGTATACAACGGAGCGACACAGCAATTGGAGTGGCTTACAGCAGCCCTGTCAGACGTGGTATACCGGGGCGCAGCCAGGCACCCATTCAAGCCAGTGCGAGACAGTCAACTTCGTGTGTATGTACTTATATCTCCCTTCTCCCCCCCCCCCCGCCCTATCTCTGTAGCTTTCTTTCTTGGTCTCAGTCTCAGTCTTAGTTTCAGTCTTAGTCTCAGTGTTGCCTCCGCTCCTGCCTACTCACTGTTCCTCTGTCCCAGCCGCTGACCGCTGGCGTCGAGGGTGCGGCGCCAGGACATTCGGCATGACTGGCCGGCGCCTTACTCTGAGCCGCGCACGCATCGACTCCAGTCACCAGTTGGTGTGGTTGTGGGTGCAGTTCTTAAGACACCTCTTGTCGTTTAAATACGATACCAAATAAGAAACTTAACTCTCGTGGTTCACCTGGTATACAGGAGCAGGCGTGCGACACATTTTGTCGGTGCATATATGTTAACCTCTTGATACTGATCCTGGCTGCCCCAGAGCCACATGCAGCGCACTATGGGCCAAGCCGATACCCAGCCGCGGCCGCCGCCTCTGACGGCCTGGCGCCGGCTGAGCTGCAGTCGGACCGCGCCCACCGTCTGCATCAGGCCGCGGCCTAAGCTGCTGGCTAAGCTGCATGGCCTCTCCCGATAACTCGGTGGGTTAGAGCGTCTGACTTCCGATTCCCGTCGGTCTTCCGAGTCTGCGGCCGGTAGTGACGATCACGATAAAGGTCAGATGTACGTTTGAGGATAGGGACGGACCGTGACGAACATTGTGACACGTTCATCTTCGCTCCCAAAATATGCCGCTCACCCGAAGGTTCGCTATCGGTCGGCGGAGACCAGGCTATCGGTCAGGAGGAGACCGGGCTATCGGTCGGAGGAGACCGGCTATCGGTCGGAGGAGACCGGGCTATCAGTCGGAGGAGACCAGGCTATCGGTCGGAGGAGACCGGGCTATCGGTCGGAGGAGACCGGGCTATCAGTCGGAGGAGACCAGGCTATCGGTCGGCGGAGACCAGGCTATCGGTCAGAGGAGACCGAGTTATCGGTCAGGAGGAGACCGGGCTATCGGTCGGAGGAGACCGGGCTATCGGTCGGAAGGAGACCGGGGCCATCGGTCGGCGGAGACAGGCTATCGGTCAGAGGAGACCGGGCTCTCGGTCGGAGGAGACCGGGCTATCGGTCGGAGGAGCCGGGCTATCAGTCGGAGGAGACCAGGCTATCGGTCGGAGGGACCGGGCTATCGGTCGGAGGAGACCAGGCTATCGGAGACCAGGCTATCGGTCGGAGGAGACCGGGCTATCGGTCGGAGGAGACCAGGCTATCGGTCGGAGAAGACCGGGCTGTCGGTCGGAGGAGACCAGGCTACCGGTCAGAGGAGACCGGGCCATCGGTCGGAGGAGGAGACCAGGCTATCGGTCGGAGGAGGAGACCGGGCTATCGGTCGGAGGAGACCGGGCTATCGGTCAGAGGAGACCGGGCTATCGGTCGAAGGAGACCGGGCTATCGGTCGGAGGAGACCGGGCTCACGCAACAAACGCTCAGGGTGGACGCTGATCCAAAAATGAATTCAATCAAAAAGCTCGGATAAGGCCGTAAAAACTGATAAGCATCGGGGGGGGGGGGGGGGGGGGGCTGCAAACCCGGCGGCTGGCTGCATGACAAATGAACAGTGCAGTCACCACTTCCCGATGCGTACACAGATCGGACGGATTGGGACGACGACAGCTGTACCCGGTGTCTGGCACCGCGTTCCTAACGCCAGGGCTCAGCGGGTGGAACAGCGCCGTCGGAGCACAGCCCACTCAGCAGTGGGCTGTGCTCTAATCACCCCTACTATCGTTGTGCTGTATCTGCCATGGCAACGTCACAGTCTGTTGTTAGGCCGAGGGCGTCGAGCCTTTGTTCCATTACGTATGCACTATACCAGAGTGCCGCCGCCGGGTGGTCCGCACTGGCCGGCAGTGGAGAGCAGAAGACCTGACCTGAGACTCTCGGCACGAGCTGACACTCTCGGAACCCCCGCGGGAGGGTTCCGCGGGACCTGACCTGAGACTCTCGGCACGAGCTGACACTCTCGGAACCCCCGCGGGAGGGTTCCGCGGGACCTGACCTGAGACTCTCGGCACGAGCTGACACTCTCGGAACCCCCGCGGGAGGATAGCTGCACACAGGGCAGCAGCATATGGGCCGATACTAATGCATTCACTTGTCCCTGACGAAATCTTTTGGTTCCCTACGACCACAGGTTGCCGAATGCCCAGCCCACAGCATATACAGATATAAGTACAGACTTATGCTAAGGCTATCCGCCAATGACCTGCGGCCATTACACCTGCCCTTGTCGCAGAACACACCAGCAAAATACACCCAGCCGCAGAACACACCAGCAAAATACACCCACCGCAGTCACTCTGTAGCATACAACTCCAAATCACCCGCTATTCAGCACGGTGAGAAAGAGCCCACGTCAGTCCGGCGCAGACGCCTCACCGGGCCCGTGTCGCCTCATCGGAGAGGTGTCCGCTCATCGGAGCGGCGCCTCATGTAGCGACAAAACAGGGGCGCAGGAAGCCACGGCAGCTCAGGCGGCAGCCAGTTGTATCGCTCAGGCGGCAGCCAGATGTACATCTCAGGCGGCAGTCAGATGTGCAGCTCAGACGGCAGCCAGATGTACATCTCAGGCGGCAGCCAGCTGTACAACTCAAGCGGCAGCCAGATGTACAGCTGCTCAGGCGGCAGCCAGCTGTACAGCCCAGGCGGCAGCCAGATGTACAGCTCAGGAGGCAGCCAGATATACAGCTCAGGCGGCAGCCAGCTGTACAGCTCAGACGGCAGCCAGCTGTACAGCTCAGACGGCAGCCAGATATACAGCTCAGGCGGCAGCCAGCTCGTACCGCTCAGGCTGGCAGCCAGATGTACAGCATTTCGGATGCCGACAGCGGAATAGCCTCCCACCCATCTGTTGCGGCAACTGTCGGAACTACCCCTACATCTGTTGGAAAAGTTGGCCAATGGCGCTAAACTGAGCAAGGAACATGACCAACAAACTGGGACTAGGCTTACAAGCGTAAGAACGGGTGCCTGACACTAAGTAAAGTGCCGTTGCCAGCGTCAGGCGTTGCCATTTCTGACGGTTGACGCGCCGTTGCAACCTTGGCATTGCACCAGGCCCACCCACCGTGCGGGAAGCGGCGATAGTCACGACACTGTGGACAGTGGCGAGTCCAAGAAATCGCCAAGGGGCGACGTTCAAATTGATGGGGTATCTGGCCCGGTGGCGGGGTTATGCTGCTCCACCTGGCTACACCTGTCTTACTAGAAAATAAGAACGAGATTTCAGGCACCTTATCTGCGAAAAACCCTTTCGCTTCAAAATCATACGGAAATGGTGAGAATATTAAGGGAATTTTTTTTCACTGCAAACAAGAAAGGTATGACCCACCAGCAGTTGCCCACATCACTTGCTGTCGGTAGCAATCGATTCATATTTGATATGCGGGCAATATAAGACGCACACACGTGATCGCGCGAGTATTTGTCCATGCGATTCAATAATGCCCGGTGTCATGTCATCAAGCGCTGTATGACATGTTGCTTGAAAACTTTGCCATAAAAACAGCTAGTATCTGCGGTGTGTATGACACAGCTGCTTGTGTCCCGCTCAAACTGGGTGTTAATTTAAACTTAGAGCCAAATTAAAGGTTTGGGCAACATGGCCAAATTACTCATGACTGATTTGTTTGCCAGACGGCATTAGACATGGGGTAGCACACATGCAAACAAGCCAACACAAATGTCAGCATGTTCACTGTGCCACTGTGCGTAACATCAGCTTGTTTTAGCAGAACATGACTGTCGAGGCTGTAGCCAAAGGTGATGAGCACCTAGCCTGTTAGGTTGCGCAAAACAACGCGATTTTCGCGCAGCCCGACATTACGCCCGTGGCCATGATAGCGGACAGAAGGTGGCGCGGGAACAGGCGGCGGACAGCGTTCAGTTAGGAAACGAGCCTTATGTAACATTCGTGCCTTGGTATTCCAGAGCTGCACTGGGAGGCGTGGGAAGCACTGGGAGGCCTTCCCTGACATGATCACGTGGACAGGACAAACCACTGAGCCGTGAGTGACGGAACACATCAGACTGCGCTGAAGGATGCGCCCGACATCAGCCCATGACAGCCTGACTTCCCATGCTGCTCCCAGATCAGCGAAAAGCGCGTGAAGCGCGTCACGGAGGCGTCACGATTCGTGTTCGGTGAGGAGCAACTCAACACTGGCACCGTCTCGCACCAGGCAGCATGCGAAACCCAACAGGCCCATCGCTGGAGGAGCTTCCTGTCGGACAAACTCGTGCGTTGTTTGGGTACCGAAACATCCGGAAACCAGTCGTGGTCAACGCGACCGTGAGTGTATCACGGGAGACAGCGAGGGCAAAACTGCTTCACTGCAACCAATATTTCGCTCTTCAGAGGCACACTACTTACCACAGACACTCGGAATTAAAACCATCTGAAAATGATGCCGGCGGAGTTTGAGGTTTTTTGTTTTGTGTTATAGTATACAGCAGATCATAGCCCATAGACCTATTGTGGTTGTGATGTGGCTTTGTCGCGCCCATATAGCCCTTTATTGAGCTAGATCATGCAGGACTTTGAGCTCCCCTTTCTGGTGGTTTCCTGGATTCGCCGCTGCTTACAGCACCGTCACTATGGCCCCTTCCCACGCGGCAGGTTTCACCTGGCGTTAAGCACGGATTACAAGGCGCGGCACCGCGGGAGACTGCGGCGTCTAACATAAGGAGCAGTGGTTCGTTTAGCTCCAAAGCGCCCTTCCTACGTTGGTCAAATTTACCTCAAATTCGCGCTATGTCCATTACCAGGTATTAAGCAAACTGTGTAACGAAGGTACTTTGCACTTTCCAAAAATGGTTGAGCTTCACTGCAATACATAGATACGACGGGCTGAAAGCGGGCTTAGACGGGACTAGCACAGCTGCGGTGCGTAAGTGGTGGAGGAAATAGCTGATCAGTTGGAAAAACGGGGCTGAGAGGGGGGGGGGGGGGGAGAGGGAGTTGAGAATATGGTCGAGTGCGGATGATTTCCCCCAACATGACACGTTTCAAAATATCCTGGAGGCGTGACACACATCAGTGATAGGCCGCCCGTCAAGACCGGCCCTGGACTTCTGCAACGGTGGTGAGACACGCAGCCAGCTGCTCTGACCGCCCGTGACAATCGGCCAGGTTCTCGTGACACCCAGGCCAGGTTCTCGTGACACTCCAGGCCAGGTTCTCGTGACACTCCAGGCCAGGTTCTCGTGACACTCCAGGCCAGGTTCTCGTGACACTCCAGGCCAGGTTCTCGTGACACTCCAGGCCAGGTTCTCGTGACACTCCAGGCCAGGTTCTCGTGACACTTCAGGCCAGGTTCTCGTGACACTCCAGGCCAGGTTCTCGTGACACTCCAGGCCAGGTTCTCGTGACACTCAGGCCAGGTTCTCGGACACTCCAGGTCAGGTTCTCGTGACACTCCAGGCCAGGTTCTCGTGACACTCCAGGCCAGGTTCTCGTGACACTCCAGGCCAGGTTCTCGTGACACTCCAGGCCAGGTTCTCGTGACACTCCAGGCCAGGTTCTCGTGACACTCCAGGCCAGGTTCTCGTGACACTTCAGGCCAGGTTCTCGTGACACTTCAGGCCAGGTTCTCGTGACACTCCAGGCCAGGTTCTCGTGACACTCCAGGCCGGTTCTCGGGACACTCCAGGTCAGGTTCTCGTGACACTCCAGGCCAGGTTCTCGTGACACTCCAGGCGAGGTTCTCGTGACACTCCAGGCGAGGTTCTCGTGACACTCCAGGCCAGGTTCTCGTGACACTGCAGGCGAGGTTCTCGCGACACTCCAGGCCAGGTTCTCGGGACCGAGCCGCCGCCGACTCCTGACCAGACCTGATAGTTACAACTTTGCGGCCGAGCATAACTTTCACCGAGTTGTTGATTTATCTTTAATGAGTGATGGGCTCTTTCCCGTACTGTTACCATATATATGAAATATAATGACACACCTGCGAAATGTCCAAGGCATTGTCCAGTACGGGGATGATGGCGGGTGATAGGTGCCCCTTCCATGCGACAGGACACTCAGTATCCGAGAACAGCTCCGCGTTGCCATGGAAACGTGCAAGACCCAACTTAGTCAAAGTTGAGCTCCAGATTAACGGTTTTCCAAATGAGGAGTACATCAAGATCACGGAACGGCGGGCCAGTTCTGAGGGCTACCCCAACACGTCAGTTTGGTACTGGCAGCGTTTCCTTCAGTACGTTTGCCCAGAATTAAATGTCGAGGGAGGCCGGTACTTTCCCATGTGAACGGTAACGTTTCGAATTTCAGACTTCTTGCCGCTGACCAAAATTTAAGTGTTGTCGGCGCACCGAACAACTGGCTGAAGTCGTTGGCAAACATGCAGTAGAATAAATGTTTGAGAGATGATCCTTCAAGGACGCCGGTGTTGCTGGATAAAGGGGTGCATCTTTTAACAGCAATCAGACTGCCAGTAAAGCCTTTGGCGTGATTTTAAAAGTACGCAGGTACCAAGATGTGCCGAGGTCAAGGAGACTACTTTGACAAACGCTTTGAATGGTCAATCACATCAAAGCAGCTGTCCCCCCTCCCCCCCGCCACAGGGAAGCCATGTGGTCCAATGTGGTGATCAGTCCGGTTTCCGTCGAACGGAAACTGCTAGTTAGGAGAGGGAAGGTGATGTGGTATGTCATTGTAGAGCTGCTGATGGATGGTGCGCTCTGCACATACCACGATGGCTGGAACGATGGAGATATGACGGCCAGTGTAAGGATCAGAAGGATCGCAGAATTTGTAGATAGGGTGGACGAGGAGTCTATTATAGGGTTAGCAGTAACGCGCTGGAATATGCTGGAGTTGACCAAATGCCACCAGTCAGTCCACCGCGCCGGCGCAGTGCACGTGCCTGCGAGTGCGGTTGCAGGCAAACATCTGACTGGGCCGCAGAAATGTGTCGGCAATGCTGAAGTGCTTGAAAACCGCCAAATCCGGGGTCTTGGAGCGAGCGTGCTCGAAAGTGCGAACGTGCTCGCTCGGCTCCGCGCATCGATTTACACCATTGCCAGTGCGATGGCCCGTTCCTTTCTTACTCGTTTGGTAGTTCATGATTTACAAACTTAATTGCATGGTGATAGGTGCGGTAATTTGGACTCACTGTGATATCCCTTGCCGAGATGGAGGCCTGGAGTCCGGCCCGCTGCTTAATGACTGAAACTGTGAATTTCATATTTTCCTTGCGAAACTAGCGCCCCACGTCTGCACGTACCACGGGCGTGCATTAGTTGCACATGCTCAACAATTTAACGCGTCTGAGTGACGCACCGTTTCCAAACGCTGACGAACCCTCGGCACCCAACTTCGAACGATGACACCATAGCAGCCGCTACAAAACGCTCCGCCGACGGCAACGTGTTCATTCCTTCTTTTATACAGGATGCACATTGGCTCGGCTATGACATGATCCTGATCAGCCAGTGCAAAAACACTTACACTTAAAGACGGTACACCATGCTAACACTTATAACGGTATAGTGACTTGGTGGCCCCGGACCTCCAACAGCACCCATTTAGCTCCCGTGACTTAAAACAAACAAAGTAATCAAATTGTGCAGCGTCTAGTGATGCCCCAAACAAATCTTCTGGCGCCAAACCGCTAGTCTCCGGCGATGCGGCCTCGGCCTCTGGGCGTTGGCGCCGCAGCCAACGCTCAGAGGCCAGACAGTGATGGCCGAAACCACTACCAAAAGACCTAACTGCACTGGTGGGTAGTCTGCTGCAGGACACGGCCGGCGGCCGGCGGCCCGGCTCGAGGCCGAGCACTGCAACCGGGGCTGAGCCGCGCCCGGCAGCCGCCGCAGGGCAGCCAACGAGACGCACAATCCCCTCAGAAACGAACACGCATAATGGGAGAACAGCCCCAAGACTGAACGGATTGAGCACGAACAGTGGAAATTAAGCCGAAATCCTAACGCGCCTGACCGCATTCAACCAGCTCGCTTGCGCCTCGGGGCTCACTCCTGACGCCTGGCGGCGGCGGCCGCGCTACAGCGGCGTCACCTCCGCCCCCGACCGCCGCCGGCCCACCCCCAGACGGCTCCCCTGGCGCCAGCGCGGCGCACTCGCACCTCAGAAACCCGGACTGGCTGTGATGATGCTCGAGTTCATCCGTTCCATCATTCCGAAAATCGCACGCAGTTTGCGGCCTAGACTTCCCGTAGTTCCGACATCCTCTATTTCCATTAGTCTGTGATGGTGAAACTTGAAACCACTGATGACAGCGGTAACCATGGCGCAAAACGCCCAACTCTTCACCTTTAATGTTTTTTTCACACGGTTTCCGTGTTTAGGAAATAGAAATAAAAACAAAAGTTTGACCATTTATATTAGCTTTCAAAGATAATGTATGTAGTGTGAGCCCCTTCTGTGGGCTATGAATCCCCCATCACTTCTTCACGAACTGAAGCCCCGTTCAACATGGCTCGAATGTTACCCTGTCAGTCTGACACACAACCTTGCGACGTGTCAACAAATGACACGTCAAGCAAACAGCACGCTGTATATCACCGCAGCCCCAGTGTCATTCCGTCAGCATGACACGCAAACTTGCCCGCCACAACGAGTGATGTGTCCACCGGAATCCTGATGCTGTGTATCACTTCAAACGTCTTAACCAACCCAGGATAAATGCCGGATATCACCTTAACATGAAAAAACATGACAACACGTAGAGCGTGTGATTGCGGTATCTCAGAACTCGAAGCGATAGCTCAGATGATGTGCGCTTGGGCCCTCGTCATTAGCCACATCCTGATGTAACATTCATCGTGTACCGGATCATCTCAGGCACAGTGCCGATTTCACCTTTTGGGTGCAGCCGAGAGCCTGCTCATACTGTGCACCTTACATAACAGCCCTGCAGCGAACAGCCCCACCCACGTGAGCAGCCCCGTATCACCCGCCTTCGATCGCGAACGCAACGCGCGCCCTCAGCCGCCCGCCTCGTGCACCACCTCGGTCACGACCTTCTCAAGCCGGTCACCGAACGCCTGAAAGGAGAAGCTCTCAACGACACGGCGCCGACCGGCCTCACCCATGGCGCGTGCCAGCTCAGGCTCGAGGAGCACGCGCAGCAGCGCCGCAGCGAACGGCTCGGCGGCCGGCGGGCACAGGAAGCCGGTGACGCCGCTCAGCACCGTCTCGAGCGGGCCGCCGCTGGCCACAGCCACCACCGGTGCGCCGCAGTACATGGCCTCCAGCGGCACGATGCCAAAGTGCTCGCGGTCCGGCGTGTACAGCACGGCCGCGCAGCCACGCAGCAGCGCCCGCTTGGCCGCGTCGCTGGGCGAGCGCAGGAAGGTGACGCGCTCGGTCAGGTCAGCAGACGCCACGTGCCGCTGCAGCTCGGCCAGGTGCTGGCCGTTCTCCTCGTTGCGCGGGTCGTAGCCACCGGCCAGCACGAGGTGGCATGCGCGGCCGACCGGCGCGTCCGCCAGCTCCAGCAGCCGGGCTAGCGCGTCCACTGCCAGCCTCAGGTTCTTCTTGCGCTCGAACCGGTTGAGCGAGAGCAAAATGTGCGGCGGCGGCGGCGCGCCGAGCACCTCAGCCAGCGAGAGGTCCGACGGCGCGTCGAACGCGGCCAGGTCCAGCGACGGGTACAGCACGTCCGGCCGGCGGTGGCGCAGGCGCGGGAACGTCTCGGCGAACACCTGGCCGGTGAAGCGGCTGTTGACCAGGACGCGGTGAGCGGCGCCTGTCGAGCGCTCTTCCAGCCAGTCGAGCGGCGCGCGGTACAGCCGCTTAAGCGGCGAACGCCGCTGCGTCAGCAGCTGGTCCGGGAAGTGGCAGTAGAAGAGCACGCGCAGGCCAGCCCAGCGCAGCAGCGGCACACACGCCGACACCTGGTCGCAGAAGACAAGGTCGGGCGGCGGCCCGGGCGCCAGCAGCAGGCACAGCGCCGCGTACACCATGCGCAGGTAGACGCAGAAGGCGCGCAGACGGCCGCACACGCTGCCAGGCAGCCAGCCGCCGCACACGCGCACCGGCAGCCTGTCCAGTGTCTCGGGGAAGCAGTGGCGCCGGTCGTGGTGCGCCGTGACGTAGGAGACGTGGTGGCCGCGGCGCTGCAGCGCCAGGCCGGCGTCCACTACCAGACGCTCGGCGCCGCCGATGCCCAGATCCGGGTGCAGGAACACCACCCGCATCGCAGCTGCCTGCCTGCGGACGACAGCAGCCATCAGTGTGCTCCAGAGCGAGGTCTGGGTGGTCGAGGCCTGCATTAACCACACAACTTTGATACTTGCACATGCTGGGTGCATGCTGCAGTACATAAGACTGCTGAGGCATGCACAGCTTGAAATGTTAATCCTCATTCTGCCAAGCCTCCTTTCACAACTTGGATAGTGGGATGTGACCACCTGTTATTTCCATACTAAGAACTATTGGGCCTTTGAAAAAAAACAACAGGAATGAACTGGGCCCAATGAGATCTTGCTGATATGGGTAAGTGCCTAGGCCAGTATTTTGTATTACATGTTTTATTTCATCCCTCTGAACCAATAATTGAAACCTCTGCCATTTCCAAAGACAATCCTTCAAACATCAAATGTTTTCAGTTTGCATGCTTGCATTTGCCAAACTATCCCACAGTGACATGAAACTTACACAGACATGTTACTTAATTTTGAGCACACTGATGCCTAATTTTGTGCCTTTCAAGCATACACTTTAATGCAGAACATGGCCTTTTTGCCTTTTCTATACTGTGACGCCTGCCAACCTGCAGGTTATTCAGGAAGTAGCACACCATCAAACTAGACACCCATTCTGCAACACATGCAAGGGACTCACCAGATGGCAACTGGCCATACACCACATGCAGCCCTGGGAGCTAGCACAAGGGCATGCAGCCTGCGGCAACAAGATCATCCACGACCACATGCACCAAGCAACCACTATGCGAGCCACTACCACATGTGACACCAACAGTACATGCACAATCACAAAGGCATGCACATGCAACACATCACAATATATAACTCTTGATTATTTTGGAGCATCACATTTATCACATAAATGATGCTGCCAACAGTTCACCAAGTGATTTTCAAGCAGACTAGTATGGTCAAAATAGAATAGGCAGGTACTTAAAAAATATACAGAAGTTTTGCACATCCCTGGGTACAAATTAGACAGCAATTTTTATGACTTGGGACTGGAACATTCAGCAACCCCTAGCATCCGCGATCTGAATGGCAGTAATGGCACTTGTATTGTACGTTCAAGGATCATATCTATTTTATTGAGTGGGGGCCGCGTGAACAGGAAAGGCCAGTAAATGCCTGAAGCTGAATGGATCACAACATTCCTACATGGACCAGGAATAGCACGACATTAAGGGAGGAGCAGGGCAAGAACTTAAATGATCGTTTGTTTAAACAGACCCTGCTTGCTCGATTGATGGCCGGGCAGCTTCTTGCCTGCTCGCTGGGCCACGCACTTGACGAACTCAGCGCAATGACAGAATTTGGGAACACGAAATGGATATGGAAGCTCCTGTGCGCCGGCCAAGCGGTGACGTTTCCAGCGCATTAGGCGTGAGGCCCGTAACACGCCTGTAACAAGGCGATACAACAAATAATAGCATATGCATTGCTTCAAACGTTGGAGCGGTTCGGCAGTGGTGGTACTTCGTGAAACCTGAACACATAGGCAAGTGGAAAACAACGCGAGGAGTGCAATTTATGCCCCAGGCGTTGTTGGCATGCTGTTTTAACCTTCATGCTTCCGATGTGGTTTTGCGAGATCCAGCGTCCAGGGGTGATTGACGAGCTGGCGATCAGTCTGGGCGGGGATGGGCTGCCCTGGAGGCTTAAATTAACCATGGCCTATCACGGTCACTCAATTTTGTTTGCTGTAAAGATCCTTTGTTCAGAGTATTGACAGTGTTTCCTGGTTTAATGGTCCTCTGTGTGACATGTATTTTTGTAGGTGTTAACTGAAGTAAAGTAAAGTCTTCTAAAATGAGGTATTTCACTGGAATGTAGCCAGTCTAATCCTTCATGAAATGCCAGCATGAAACATGAACTTAGTGCCATTGTCTTTTCTATAACCTTCATCTGTCCTTTTTCATTGTGACATTGCTGCTATTAAGTTGTGTCTGCTAGGCTCTGCTACTTTTATGTGGTTTTTGCTATACCAGCAGTCATGGTGTATTCTACATATTGACATACATGTGCAGTTACAGATCCAGACAACTATAAGGCCTATGATGAGAGACAGGCAATGCCATATAGCCTGAGCAGAGGAGTGTCTTAAAGCCCTAATGACATTACATGATGATATGGTGTATGGAGTTTGATTTTTTTGGCATATGATAGTTCAATATTCAAGAGGATTTCAAACCATTCCTCAACTGTCTGCTATGTGTGTTCTCAAAAAATGCCAGTGAATAAAATGCAACATATGATTAAGTGTAGGTCTGTTTTTGGACATAGTTATGAGGAAACCATGAAAATATGATCAACAGTTGAATGCTGGTCACCCTAAAGGTCCAGGAATATATTTTTGGCAAGTTAAGGCACCAGTCCTTGCTCCTGAACTCCCATGTCCCTTTAAGCTAATCTACACTAACCCAACATGCATAACCTGACTGCCACTGGCCCAGCCCAATTAATCTCAGATCAGCTCAGGGCAATCCAACACAGTATAGTTGATCTCAGTTCAGCTCAGGCTGATCCAACCTGGTCCAATTCCATCAGGAAGCAGTAAATACCATACTGCTTAATAGGGGCTTTGGATGTCTTGCCAAAACTGTGCTGGATGTGCCTTTTCAGTTCAATGACTACAAAATAACAAACTAAAGAACTGGACTGCAATAAAAGATATCCTTACAGCAGTTGCCAACATTATGTGACTTTAATATTTTTGCTGGGTCCACAGGTAACAGAAGAATCAATGGTGAATGCCCATTCAAACTTGCATAATATATTAAACTTATGTTGCATGACAAGATTTTCAATTGCTAGATTTCTGGGGTCATAGCCCATGCTAAGTAGTGTGTGCTGCCTAAGCCCAGACCTATCCAATAATAATACATTTCCTGGTCATCAGTAAAGTTTTGTGAAAAGGGCTAAATGTGCTGCAATATTTGGTGCCTTGTCCTGCCCTCTGAATTCTCCTGACTTCTAGCTCAGCTGCTGCCACTGACTGATGGCCATCTCAGTCTGATTGACAAATGATGAGTACACTCAGTATGTTGAGTATATATGTAACTGTACTCAGATCTACCCTGCTCATAAGGATTGGCACAGTGGCTTTTAAGGGAATATATAACTGACCTGCTTTCTTCTGGACATATGGAGCCATGTAGCAGGGGAGGGGTGTATAGAGAGTTGGAGATATACAGCAATACACAGAAGGGGATTTGCTGCCCTCTGACATCATCTGAACTCCAGTGTGGCTGAAGTCACCAGTTAAAGGCTGTCACAGTCAAGGGCAACTAGCAAGCAGCCAGAAGGCCTGAAATTGAAGAGAAAGCACATAAATATCAGGAGGCAGGCACTCTAACCACCTGGGCTATTACAATGGAGCCACTGGAATGACTAATGGGGTGAAAGTGAGTGATAATTGAAACTACAGTAATGATGACAATGTTTAATTTTAATATATGGTTTCCAAAACCTATGATTAATGACTACCAGCCTAGGCTCCTGATTAGCATTTTAGGATTCCATGTTCAGAGACAGTAGCTGGCAGGGTATAGAAGTATTGACATCAAGGGATATTGTTATGGACTGATGTTCTTTGGTGTAGTCTGGAACAATGACAATTCAGAACTAAGGCAACATTGTCAACGGGGGTCGTTTTCTCATGCATGCCAGTTGTCTTGCTGCATGATAGATGTTCTTAAAGACACCACTGTGTGCTGCAGTGCTGTCTGGCTCCACCATCAAGCCAAACCAATATTTGTCGTACAAAAGTGTTCCGCAAGCATTCAAGGATAACACCTCGGCTGGGTGGCAAAGTGTGACGTGGGACCTGGCTATTCTCTGCAGCAGAACTCGATGAAAAGATTATTAAGCTGTGTAAATTTGATGCTAGAAACCAACCATTGATAATTTTTAGAACCATGCCATGGAGCGGGGAAGAGGAGGAGAACAAGGAAGGAGGGAGGTGTGATTGCCTCAATATGGTTTCGGGTTGGTGGCTGCTGCTGACTGCCAACAGAGAATGATGATGTAAGGAAATCCTCCTCATGACCACTTTCTTCATTCTTTACAGAGGAAAGATGTCCCACCAAACAGGGATTGTAGCCAACCAGGAGTTGATGGCATTTTTTGGCAGCTGCAGAAATGGAAGTGTCAGGGCCATCAAAATATCCATTGAAGATGGTAAGCAAAAGAAACATGGATGCATTAAATGTTCATGGATCAGGTGATTCCTGTAAGTGGATGAACATTGGATGACTTCTTGCACAACTCTCCTACACCACCAAGTAATCACATCAACCATGTACAACTTGTGTGCTGAGTTTTGTGTAAAGACCACACTCATCACTATCATTTTCACAGCCACTGGCATCTTGATGCTTGAGAAGCATAAAGCTACTTTGGAAAGCAGTCTCATCTCAGACACAAGGATAATGTCTTGAGACACATTGCTCCATTGTGCAAAAAAGTGAGCTGCTGTTTGCATTTTTCATGTGTGTATGCTGAAGTGCTGTAACTCCATCATTGTTCTTGCAGAGCAGTTAAGCCTCCACACCCATGTGCCTGCTGAGTCTACCTGGGAAACTGACTGGGACAGCACAGTTCCAGATCTCACAGATGACAAGCAGCCGACATACATCCTGTATAGGTCTGTTTATCAATGGCTAGACCTGCGAAAGTGTTTCGTAGATAACAGGAGTTGCCGGCCAAACAACACTATCCATGAAATGTTCAATTCAAATGCTATATTGTAACAAGTCAGCACAGGGGCATGCTTTCACAACATGAGTGGGGGGGGGGGGGGGGGAGAGACAGCAAAAAATATAAAACCCTGCCCTCAAAATATGCCCAAAAATGGCTTTTTCCTGATTTGCTCCATTGGCCATTTCTTTCCTGAAGTGCAGGGAAAGCTGGAGCATAAATATAGCCTCCACCCCACTTTGAACCCTGACTGAAAAGTAAATGACACCCCTGAATCATAATTTCAAGTGGTGTTTGTGTTGCATAAATAGCTTGACACATTGAACATTGGCATGGCAGGTTGAGTGTTGCTATGATGCATGGGCATAGCCTGAAACTTGTGGAATGGGTAGTGTTACCCATGTTTGCTAGTTGTTAAACCAGCACCTCCCAGCTTTTTGAAACTGGATATATGGAGCTGTCATTGTCAGAATTTGTAACTCATGATACTGCAAAATGAGAAGCTCAAGTCCATTCATTGCCATTTCTATTCAACCTTGTTAACCATGCATCTTGTCATGGGGACAGTATTGCCCATTACAGGGCTGTGATGGTGGGCTGTGATGTTACAGCACTCACTGATGTGCAAAAGCATTAACAAATGGTTGTAGCTGAAGTGACTTCCAGTGTACATAGCACATGCCCACATAAAGGTAACATAAATGGCACTGTTGCAGGCTAGACTCCAAGAATTCAATGGGCTTTGAGTGGCTGCTGATCACATGGTCACCGGATGACTCGCCAGTCAGGCAGAAGATGCTGTATGCCTCTACAAAGGCCACACTCAAGAAGGAATTTGGTGGGGCCCAGATCAAGGATGAAGTCTTTGGCACAACAAAGGTGATTTTTGCCTTTAGTTGTTAACACGCGCTCGCGGCGTCAGTTTAGCCTCCCTCGAAGGTTTTTGCCTTAAGTTGTTAACACTCGCTCGCGGCGTCAGTTTAGCCTCCCTCGAAGGTTTTTGCCTTTAATTGTTAACACGCGCTCGCGGCGTCAGTTTAGCCTCCCTCGAAGATTTTTGCCTTTAGTTGTTAACACGTGCTCGCGGCGTCAGTTTAGCCTCCCTCGAAGGTTTTTGCCTTTAGTTAACACGCGCTCGCGGCGTCAGTTTAGCCTCCCTCGAAGGGTTTTTCCTTTAGTTGTTAACACGCGCTGGCGGCGTTAGTTTAGCCTCCCTCGGAGGTTTTTCCGGCGTGATTTCCGAACAGCGCAGCGCGGTCGCGCCATATTCCTGAAGATAATTGAATAATGGATCGTTTGATATCCAAAATTCACATGTACCTTGTAAGGTTGCTGACCTGTGGCAGGCCAAGGTCAGGCCATGAATGCAGTGAAGACGATTTCTAGGGAATTCTTCAAGCTGATGCAACAACAGAGTGTTAGATGAAGCCATACATCTGTGAGATAGTTTCTTAGGGAACACACAAATTGCATGAACAAGTTCCATTGACATAGGATCAGGTATGAAGTTCAGACCAAGGGTCAAA